AGCAAAGACGTCTGGATAGTCGTAATGGAGAATCTCGAGCCATACTCGTAAAGACATTGGTGGAACTCTACCACGTACGTGACGTATCACACGTAGAATTGAAACGTGTGGTGCGCTGTCACCGCGTTGGACGTGAGCCTAGGATGGGTGAGTGCGCAAGACGGGTATCTTCACCCGACGAATCAGACGGTTTACCTTTCTCTGCATTTATACGCATTGTACTAGACCGCTGGCTTACTGAGTGTCTGCTAGTAGCAAACTGCTCACATCATGACATGATGTGACTCACATGATGATCATGTGAGTCACATGTACTCATCGTAGCAGACTGCTACGATAAGTACACGTGAGCGGAAGCAGTTGGTGACAGGAAGTATTGGAATCGACGACGGTGACGTTGGGTCCATAGTCCGGAACATATTTCTGCGATGACCGGAACGAGTTTTCTTCTAGATCATTGAAATTTCCAGAATGATTCGCTGATGACCGTATGAAAACTTTTGGGAATTTTTTTGGTGGTTTTTGAGAAAAAAAACTAAGAAAGAGTTCCCACCTTCCAAGAATGTAGTGAAGCCATCAAGTCTCTCTCGAATGGGAGATATTACTGCGTATTCATGACTGATCGCAGCCCTACTCACTGTAAGTATCCGGGAGATGGATTGAATGCAAGGATGATGAACGTGAAAGTTTCACGGTGAAACCTGGAGGCCAGCAACCGAAGATGAGAGATGGCTGGTTCATGAAGCAGGGAAAGAGAGTTACGCAGAGCATGGTATTTCCCGAAGATCATCCCACGCATCCTGGTGAAGCGAAAGGATTGGGACAAGTTGCTCTAGAGAGGTTTGCAATGCCGTGAGAGGGAAGCCGCTTCCCGGAAGCGCCATGGGGACCTTGTCAGTTTACTGGAGAATGCGAGGACTTCAAGTCACAGAAGACATTGCTGGAGGAGGAGGCAGCTGCGAGGGGGGGATGTGGTTATTTTCGGTGTGAGGTTCCACCCAGGGCTTGCCCCGATGGAGGTGGCTTATAGAAGTATCGCTAAGTATCTTCGTGTCTTGAATAGGGCAGGATCATCAGCCGGGTTCGTTGAGCGCGTGGAAGCTGCATCGGAAGTTGCTGACCTGGATATTACACTTATTCGGAAGTATTTCCGTTCAACCCGCGAATATCTCAGGCATCATGTTGAGGGGAAGAGCTTAGAGGAGATTGAAAGGCTAAGAAAAGAGAAGCGTAAACACCGGGGCGAGTCACCTGTACTATTGGAGGGTGAGAATCGCTCACAAACTGGCAACTTGCCAGTGGCAAGTACAGCAGGCAAAGATTGCGCTGAGTGCTGCCAGCTTTGGTTTTCCATAATTTTCTCTGTTTAATACTGTGTGTAATGTACTGTTAGGATTCACCCTATCATTGTATAGATTCCTACTGTGTGTCCTGTTGATCAATAGTTGTAGATTGGGTTAATTTCGGAGGGCGCAGGTTCAATATCGAGGGTCGGACACGTGCAAAAAAGTGGCATGAAATTTTTTTCCGAAAATTGATTGCGGACAGGCTCCATGCAATGTAACTATATAAGAGGGGCTTATATTCGGAATTTTAGCTTGAAAATCGCTCTGTAGTAAAAGTTACCTCTGCACACGTATTGTCGGTCTCTAGATGGCGCGTACTGTACATTCCAACCAGATCGAAACTGGTATCGAGCTGCGACCGCTCTCTGAGCGAAACCCTTACATCCACTCAACGAGTGTGAAGGAGGATGACCCATAGCTCACGTGCTTTCCCACCGAGGGAGAGGTTCTCACCTCGGGTTTATTACTGTTGTACTGTCTAAAATTTAGAATCTAAATCACTCTGAGAAGGTTGTCATGCCGGGTGACTTCGTTCGTACTGAGAGAAGCTTTGGTATTGCATCAACACACTGGGACGGTCCCAGTGGGACCCAGCTGATACTATACAAGTAAGGCCTACTGCTTCGCTAGTGCCTCCAGGTACCCCGTAGTCAAGTAGTTCCCCTGCATATGTCTGCATAACCACATAGTACATGAAGTCCGGTGAAGTAAGTGGTGAAGTGGCGGTATGTGTGATGAGTCATCACTGATGACTCGTCATTGTCGATTGTTTTTACCCCTCTACTCGGTTACTCTCGACTGTACCATTAAGCCGTAGCCGGGGAAGCCGTGGCCAGGTGCACCTTCTTTCGTATTCGCTAGTGGCATTTGTAAGAGTATGGGCGGTTGGTCGCTGGCCCGTAAAGCCCGGCATAAGCTTTGATCTCAATTAGATCGATTAGTGGTCGTGAAAAGACAAGGGGTTGTTTGACCCAAATAGGATGATTAGTTTGCCGGTTTCCAAATTACAAGGTTGACGCCGCTCAGCCTCAACCTCCGCGGGTCAGCCTACAAGTTTCTCGAGTGAGTGATCCAGCCGGGAGAGATGAGTGAGGAGAAAATGACACCCACCTTAAGGGTCCATGACGCGACTGCAAAGGGCAAGGGGCACACACGCAAGGACTAACTCGCCACGTGGCTTCTACATTTTTCCCGAACGAGTTCGACTAGTGGGCAGGTAATAATAGAAGTATTACAGGCAAGCTTGGCTTTATGAATTCAACTACGTTGAAAGTTAGTGGTCAATAATTAGTTATGAAAGCTCGTTTGTCAAAGTTTGAAACTGTTAAATTGACAGTCAAACGCACGCAGAAAAAGATGAAGATTTCGGCGACGTTCGCCATGAATCTCCCAGAAATCAGGCGAGTTTGAATGAGTTTTGTGAACCAATTTTCAGATGTGGCGACGCGCTTGGCTCCGAAATGTGTTATCGAACCAATTCCAGCATGAGTTTCTCAAGCGTTTTTCCACCAAGACCGGTTATAGAACGAGTTGCCGGTCTCAGATTCTGAGATAGGCAACTCGTTCTATAATTTCTGAGACTTAGAACTAGTCTATCGAGTGACTCGAAACTCTCGAGTCGAGAGCCAATGCAAATAGCTCACCCATTCGTCCGAAGAAGGTCCGACCGAAGGTATTGTTAATCGGTAGCGGGCACCGGCAATATGGTTGGAATTACTCCGTCATGTCATGACGAAGCGATTGGACTGAAATCATCACAGTCAAGGTGTCGAGAAAATACCAAGACTTAGTCCAGCTGCTGGACTCCAGCAATGGGGTGAAAGGATCTATCCGAGGGTGAGGCGTGATCGGATCTATCAAATAATGGTATGTGTTCGGATCTATCGGATCATGAGGTGTTATCGGATCTATCCAATAATAAGGGTGGCCATCGGCAAAGCTAGTGTTGAGCAAGATCACGTGCCGTCATTGTCGCACGCAGCGTAGTTGTGAAAGAAGTACAGAAGAAACTGGCCCGCGTTATCGGGCAAAAATACGACCCACGAGGATAGTCTACGGCTAATTCATAGCTCATTATGAAGCATCCTAGACTGTCTGTGTTAGATAATCTAACCCAGATAGCCAGCTATACAATTCCCACCTGACGTTTATTGGGCTGAAACTCAATATAGTTCCCCACAAGCATAAGGTGAGGGAATACCAAACGGTTTTCATCATCTTCCCTGAAGATGGGATGGCAGAAGCCTTCACCGTTCCTGGCATAGTTGAAATGCGTCATCTTAAGTGGGACATCTCCCTTGGGACCCATTGCAAATACCGAATTTGAAATGAACTGAATGAACGAGCAACTAAAAGTCCAAACTTCCCTCATATCATCGAAGCTTGACTTGAGTCTTCGCGGCCACGCTAGCTTGCCCACCGATATCAGCTATAATACCATGATAGTAAAACTTGGACACATATACTTAGATGACTGGTTCCAGTCGAAAGATTCTCGGCCTCCGATGTTTGAACAGAATGAAAAGAAGGGACAATGCCATCTACCTCAGACAGCCTCAAACTGATTGAGACCCTCAATGAATCTCTCCGCGAATGACTAATCTCGTGACCCCCGTGGTCCAAGTTCTAGAGAGATGATATCAGGTATCCAGAGGGTGTAATAGGAGTACATCAAGTATGACAATACACGATCGCCTTCTTAACACACGAGCCGATTCAAGCCATCCAATTCAATTGCTCTGTATCTTGATATGATTTAGCTGCCACTCTATATATTAGCCCCACCATCTCGGTTGGTGTTTAGTTCAAGTCACTCAAACACCATTCGAATCGAGTCACTCGATTCGAGTGCTGTGTGAGTATTGTGGCAATATCATTGGGTGAAGACCGTGCGAATTTCGAATGATAGGCAAACCCGGATGGGAACGGCTCACCACGTAGCTCACACCACGATAACAAGGATCATTACAACAGTTGGAGACCATTACAGAGTGACATATAAAGCAACCAGGGTCTCTGTGTTAGGAGGCTTTCAAGGTATTGCTAGGTCGAAATCGTCCATCTCAAAACCCCTGCCAACGCGAGCAGCATTTTCAGCTCCCTCTGCTATCCGCCTTTCGAGCTCACGGTTAGTCATCATGCTCGAGTCGAGCCCTTGCTTCAGAGATCTCCTGAGAATCAGAAGACGTCATGGTTTGCCCTCCGGGCGGGCAAGTGTCGAAATTCCGCGGAAAGGAAATTTCGTCACGAAAAAATTAGGAAACGGCGGAAATAGAAATTTTCGTCCAAACTTGGAAATTATCGCGCGCCTTGTGGGGGTGCCACTTGCATTTGCATCGTGGTTCTGCGCTGCACTGGATTTAGCACGCCTATTGCTTCCCGTATTCCTATTGCTTGACGTAATCGGTAGAACGCAAGATATCGTAGACTACTGCCAAAAAAACTGGAGCTATGCCAACAATTTCCTCTTCTCGAGGGAGAGAAAGTAAGGTAGCAAGTTAACCCTCGAGACTCCGGCGGAGTCACTCCGCAACCCTTAAGGATATAAGCCTCATATATCTGATCGATATATGAGGTTGACTGCAGAATGTACCGGGAGTGACTGGTAGGCATCTGCGAGCTGCCTCACTAGCTCTGTTGGCTCATTACAAATGAAACTGAGCGGCTTTTCTTCGCGTTGATATCTGGGGCATGATTGTCTGGCTTTTTCAACAATTTCCGGCCTCAACGGAAATTTCTGAAATTTTCTCGAGGATTTCCCAAGGAATTTTTCCCGCCCGTGCCCAAATGGCAAACCCTGGAAAACGTGCTGATGATTGCTGAGAAGGTACCGTACGAATCGTATCACGAAGAAGACATTCTTCTTCGTGATACGACTCGTATCATACGACTGTTTAACTGAAGAGTGCCACATCTATCTCGTTGAACACCCCATCCAGCTTGACACTCACAGCTCTCTTTTAGCGTCTGCAATCCTTGCTCGGATCTTCGAGATTCTCTGGTCAATCCTAACAAATCAGACTAAGTCGTATGTTACAACGATCCTGCACTGAAGGCCTGCCGCCGCGGTGTACCAACCTCGCCATCTCGTGTTCGTCCATTTGACTACAGAGTTGGTATTTCAAAAGTTTTTGCGCTTCCTGAAATCGCATATTTCGAAGAGTCGCCATGCAACGATGGAGTTTACTCACCCAGAATTTCCCAGCCTCCACCGCACAGCTAGTGATGGATCGAAGAGGCGATATAATAATCCAATCAGTTAACGCCGCTTTGCGTCCCCCATCGATATGCCTGTCATCTGACAACATTCCTATTCACACCCCGGATGAAGAATTCATCATTCACACTGAAGCCCGACTGAATTTAGAGCTCACAATGTTACTGTGAGATGCCCACCAAAACGAGACGCCGACAGTGTCGGCCCGACACCAGTCCGGATCATCGAAGTGCCTCAAGCGCTGTCAATCCCATTCTAAAGACCTAATGAAATCGGATGCCTACGAGCAAGCTGGAACTGTTCTACAACCCTTTCCAGACTCTGCCGACTTTTCACAGGAGTTCGACAGATACAACAGTATCCATCTCGTGGTCTATGTTCGACACAAACGAGGTGATGGCAGGTCTTCAAATAAATCAACCTGAGAATGTCAGCCTGCCCTCGAGTGTTTAGTTCGCTCAGGCTTCCTAACATCTAGTATCACTTTTCCATTCTATGGAATAACCATGAACGCATCTCAGCTCGGTCACATGTGAACAGAACGACACTCCTACTTTTGTTTGGCCCGACACATCGGAACGTTACAGTTCAGGTCCGTCAATTCATGACGATGTTCTGTCATCAGACTCAAATTCGGAAAGAAATCAAGGTTACCTTTCAGAGAAATCGATTAAGTAAACTTTCAAGCACAAGAACATCAACGCGTCGCTTGTGTTCAGTCCCTGATCACAAGCGACTGAGCTTCAGTGCGAGCTGAATTGGGGAAAGCAAGTGCCCCATTTGAGCTAAGCATGCAGCACAATACTTTCTGGTCACGAAATTGACAACGCAAGTACCCAGTAGAGCATAAGTGACCTTCATTGTCACACTATAGCTATACGATGCTGGCAATACTATTGACGGAATAGGCTAGCCGAATACGATACCAATAACTGTAACTTGAAAGTGGCTTCACAAGTCTCTCAGCAGTAAATACTCCAGAGTGGCTTCACTGACCATGAAATTGGCACGGGGTTGATTATAGGACATTTGCTGTGACAGTAGTTTTGCTGGGGTAAAGTCGTCATTCGGCGACTTACGCAAAATAAAATATATCATTCAGGAAATTTGCGGTATATAGTCATTCAGAAACACAATCGCTCAATTCCTAGCTTTTCTGTGACTAATGTGAAGAGCTAGATATGTGGAAGTCAACAGCGGTGGACACGGTCTTGAATGAACGACAGTTTCATACGTCGGCGATTGATCAATCAACGCTCCTGCAGATACACGGCTCATCGTAGGCGTCTCACTGGCGTCATCGTTCTCGATGTACTTGTACGCCGTGATAGCAGCAGCCCAACCACCAGCTATTGTCGTCAAGCTGGAACACAGTCGTGAAGTGAGCAGTTTGGTGAGGATTCCACTGGAGAGCGAGGACTCGTTAACTGAAAATAAAAGCTTTCCAAAACGCTATCTTTCAACTTCGTTTCGATTTCCGGCCATCGATTCCGCCATTGAATTTGAGTAGGAGTTGATACCAAAAAGACAAGGTCAATCTTCCACCATAATGAGGCATCACATTTAACAATCAAACTCCGTCCCAGAAATGCGCTTACCATGCTTAGTAACACTTCGCACACAGCCGAACGTAAATACACAGCCAAAAGCTGCACCTGAGTAACAATGGCTATCAGAGTGGGCATAAAGCTGAGCGAATCGAAGCATCGAAACCAGAGATTCTCTCACTGTGACGAGACCTAACGCATTCGGCCAACTGGCAGACAAAAACTTTCGCAATGTGGTGAAAAAAACCTCTGCTCGGAGATCTTCCCCATCTCTGTGCGCATGAGTCATGCGGCATGATGACACAGATGAGCAGCAACAACATACTCAATCATACTGATTTTCCAATACCACCACGCCTCACGGTCTTGCTGTGAGAATATGCACATGGTCAACTGCATGTGTTGGTGATAACATGAAAATTATGAGAAAATTTTGCAGAATTCACGTTAGTTTTCAGTACACTTCCGCTCATTCGTATGTCAACTTCGCAATTGACGGAGAAACTCCTAGACTCCGCTGAGGGAAGCGAACGTATATTCCAACCCTGGTCTCAACGATAACTCGGTGACTCCAATGGAATAGCATATATAAAAAGCCCTCACCCCCAATGACACCGAGAGTTGGTCGTGCGATGGTACCCATCACTTTATAGATCGGCGGAGGCATCTTAGTGTCCGATTGCGGTCTATGTCTCCGCTTATATCTGAATACAATACGATATAGGACCGCGAGATCATCCTAAACCCATAGCAAGAACGACAACCACTTCACGAAGACTTTTTTCAGTCTCTCGAAAGGCCCTTCGTGGTGTATTGGCTGAGTCAATGTGACAATCAGATTGAGACCCCCGAATGGGATTGTCGCTCACGTATAATATATAGATAACTCACTCAATTATATCGCCAGCCATCCTTCTATCAATGCGAACAGCTGGGAGGCCCGCTGGTGCCTAAGACATTGCGACGAACTCCCATTCAAAAGGTCCCTGGGTCAGCCCCATCATAACTCACCATATACCGATCGCTTATTCGCGACGGAGGCATCAATGCTCTCTGTATTTTACGAGGGAGCAGATGGGCCAGTCCTGGTTGGAGCATCTTCTCTAGAAAGTCCTGAAATCAAATTCCCAACTGCATAAGACCGCCGACGCTCTCCGGCGTTGACATCACAATTGGAGTGAATTGTATTAGTTTCATATCGAACAACAATCATAACTCTTTCACATTATATCGATTTTCAAATTATACCAGCTATACGCTCCCACACTCCAGACTCTGAAAAGACCAACAATTGTTCGGCGGCTCACCTCATCCATTCCCATGAGACAGTCTCGTAAGGAATCACTTGATAGTTGAGGGTTGAATGCAATGAATATCAATCTTTGCATAAGCCTAAGAAAACACTCTACGGGCAGTGGTAACAGACGGAGCGAAGAGTTTCACGAATGCTGATTTTCATTTACCTCGAAAACTTGGTGACGCCTCGGCGATCGACCATCAAATCAAACGCTGACGAGTGTAAGAGAAGATTCTGTAGGCCTTCTGGTAGATATACTAGCAGTCCTTCGGAGCGAACCTGAAAATGAACCCTGCCTGAATCGAACCCGGGACCTCTCACACGATAGTTACCTTGCAATACATCCCCACCACCATGATAACTACGCCTACCACTACTGCAACTACAAGAGGATAACTCATCACAATCTGATCAAAGACGAAACTACTGCTCAGAAATATCCAACCTGGACCCACCTTGGTGATGCCTCCGAGCACACCGGCTGCGATAGAACCCACCCCTATCCATTGGATCATCGTCAAATCATCAACAACGGGGAAGAATAAACTCAATGATACCAAACCTGACCAGAAGTGAGCATTCCGAATGGAACGAAACCTTCAGCGCCACTAACGGGCATCGATCCTCGAATGAAATACTTAAAACATATTAAAGTTGGATCATCATTGATAAGGTTCTCGAACGCTGCTACGGTGGAGTCGATAGGAATAATCAAACAAACTCTGGAGTATTCCCAAGCCCTTAGATGTACCTCGCCGTTTCTTCCGATCTTCCACATAACTCTCCTCAGTGTTGCTAGTTGCTGCTGCTGCGGCGGCGGCTGTAGGCGATGATGGTGAAGGATCCATTACATGTGTTGAGCACATTACAATCACTGAAAGCGTCATTCGCCCCGACCCACACAAGGACTCGACACCCCAGAAAGCAGATTGATTGTGGTGAAGTCAATACTGAGGATTATAAGCTGGTGGACGGGCGTTCGTATCGAACCCTGGATGAGGTGCCTACAACAGGTTCAACAGATGTAAAAAGGAGAGCACCATATAACGCCAGTCTGAGGCCAGCTACTAGCACTCCGGTTTATTACTATGTAAGAATTCCTTTCCCTTTGTATTGGCTCCTGCGGACCACCGTACAGGATCTGTAAGCTCTAATGATACCCTCATATAGAAGAAGAACTATTCAGTGAAGAACTAAGCTACTCACGATGAATTTAAAGCACTCATAGCACATAGTATCTCCAGAATCTACGGTACGTAAGGTGGGTATCATCACTCCGATCAAGCTAGTTGTGTCAGGAAAACCACTCCGAAGTACTATCGAGGAAAAAGACCAGGAGATCGATGGCGTCATTTTAGCGCAATACTCTCCCCCACATATTCCCAACACTATGACTGTTATTTAGCTTTTCCATGCTAGTGATAGCTGCGCTCACACTTCGAATAATCTCAATGGACGAATTGGGAGTAGACACACTGCACACACCCTTCTACCATGTATTGCGTTTGAGGTAGCTCATGATACCGTCGATGGCGACACCGACGACAGCAACATACTATAGATATGATCACCAGTATCTATCATCACATACGCCTTGGGATGATCCCGCCAACGGGATCGAACCCACGACCTTTCGATTACCAGCAGGAACATATCGAACCTCTTATCCTCAAGAGGTTCCACTAAGTACGCCACTTCTCCCGCTTGCACATCTACATATCAGCAGATATCGTCACGCGCCACGAAATTGCCTCTTCCCGATATCACCCGTGTATGTATCAATAGTCAAACCCATCTCCCCACAGCCGATCACTTATTCATAAACATAGAAAACTAAAAAGCACGTCTCGGCATATCACGAGCCCAGCAGGGAGTCCCAAAGCAAACGCTCTCCAAATGAAATCAAGCCGGATGAAGCGACAAGGCGACCACCACAGAGGCTGCCCCTCGCAGCCTACAGCATACGTAACGCAAGCTACGTATTGTAATGATGAAAAACAACAATACCACCATGCTTCGCTTCGCTAGAAATTAGAACATCCATGAAGTGCACTCGATACCTTGCGCCATGAGACCCCTTATTATCGCCTTCTGCCACGCTTTGTGATAGACCGACAAGAAATAGGAAAAGGGACCCGTAAGGAATCAATACTCCCGTTTTTCTACAACCTTTGAATCTCCTCACGCTGTTGCCATGCAATAGTACCGCATCTAACACTAGCAATGAGCGCCCTCGAATCAAGTAGCGCCAAATGACAACCCCAGGAATCGAACCCAGAACCTCCAGAATACCAAACCCGAATAACTCCGCCCCTTCTAAATCGACTCGATTTAATCGACACGGTAACTTCCATCCATAATAACCGTTCTGATTCAGCCGCTAAGGCAACTACACACCCATCCGTTCTCCATTCACCTACAAGAGCACGTTCCCTAGTATACTTCGAGTCATGTAATACTCCCAGGTTCGATCCCAGCACACCTTGTTTTCTCTGCATGGGCTGTCGATCGTAGGGACTGCACAACGTTGATCAAACGTGGGTCAGCCAGCACCACAAAGAGGGTCTGCCAACACCAGGGTCGTTTTCTTCCAGCCACTACCAGCCAATCGCATTAGAGGCGGCCTACGGCCATCTAGAGATGGCTATGCGCTTCTTGCATACCTTAGTGGGAAGGTTTAACCACCTTTATCATTGCCCTCACGATGATGAACGTGCACAGAAAGAGCGTCGGATTCAACGAACGCATGAGATACCGATCTACTTAAACCTCGACAGGCATTCGACCGGTTTGTCAATTTGAAGCATACCACAGTTATGCAAGCCTCAATTACTTCAGTTGTACGACTTGGAAAGGGGACTCCCGGATCGACTCCTGGCGCGATCACTTTTTAATTTTCCTGCACTTGCATTAGCGTTTCGTGTTGCACGCGTGCGCATTGCGCAACAGCCACAACAACAACAGCAGCAACATATTTCTCTGTTCTACGGGGTTACCCTCTAAGACAAACAACAAAACCTCGAGGCAGTCCGATAAGGACTATAGATTAACTAACAAAGGTAGAAGCAGTGCTTCCATACCAGGTCTTCCAGGCCTCCCATCTGGGCGCTCTGGCAAGAGTTCGGCGAAGTGTGGTATTAATTCGCTAGCTCAGCCGGCGCAGTCACCAGGTTCGTCAACGAACCGTCACGACAAGAGTTTAGAGAAATCAGGTAGAAACTCTTCGCCTAAGCGCTTTGCTCTAGTTAGGGATCCGTGTTTCTCCGATATGAATTCACGTTGTGATCTATATCCGGATGTCTGCGAACGTCATTGGGACAAGATGCAGTCGGACATGCTGGCCAATGAAGGCGCGGACGGCAATAGCTGGGCAGACGAGTGCCCTATAGAAGCGGATGTCTCGATGGATCAGCTGGAGGCAGACGTGCTGGACTTTCAATATGGCGGCGCACCTTCCTCCCCCGCGTCCTCCACCCCTGCGCCCCTCTTTCCCCCTTCCCCTGCGCGCGAGCCTTCACCTCCTCGCCCCTACCCTTCGCGAGATGGAAGCGGTGACTCTAAGCTATGCTTTGGTGTCTCGGACGGCCAGCAGGTTGCGTCAGGCGCGGCTAACGCCAATCCTGCACCAGCGTTGTGGCAGGTCATTGCGCTCTTGCGTACCCTGATCAGTACTCTCCCTTTGGGTCCTCAAGCCCCGGTTATATCGGCTCTTTTGGACTCCATTGTGGAGCTCGTACAGGCCAGCCTGGGCAGTGGTTCGGCTGATGCCAAACCTGCGGGTTCCACCCCAACCTTGCCCATCCAAAGACGGTCGGTTAACCCTGGAGTGGTTACGGCTCGTCAGGCCAAAGCGCAACGTGCGAAGGCCGGTCCTGCCACTGGGCAGCCGCGCCAGACCACTGCCGCACCTCCGAGACGCCAGGCCCCAGCTCCTGTCGACAAAGACGGGTTTACAGTGGTCACTGCACGTCGTGCGCCTAAGTCCTATGCGACTGCGGTCAGCGGTAACGCTGGCCCAGCTCGTGGCGGACAGAAACCACGCGTGCAGCAGGCGCCTAACCGGTTTGCGTCGGCAGCGAAAAAGGCTACCACTAGTGGTAGCCGGCCAGTGGTAATTATCAGGCCTACGGGTCAAAATCCTGCGCCTCTGAGCAAGGCGCAGTTTTCGGCTCTTCGAGTAACTGCCCTTCAGGCGCTACCAAAGGATATTGTCGTTACTGGCGTCTTCCCAGTAGGGCAGGTTAGTATCGGCCTAAGCATCCGTGATGCGGCGGCCGTACCAAGTGTGATTAGCTTTGTCGACGCTAAGTTGACCGGCTACAGCTGCTCTAAGAAGCAGACGCGCTTCCCGCGCATTATCTGCTTTGGAGCAGCAGTGTCCAGAGACATCTCCGCGGCATCACTCGAAAAATTGATCCGCGAGGAAAATGCCTCTGTTTTTACAGGTAAAAATGTCCCCAGTGGCATCGTTCAATCGATCCACTGGCGCGGACCAAACCTCGTGGTAGCAGCCTCTCCTGAGTTCTTCCGAGCCTTGGAAGCGTCGAAGACTCAGAAGCTCAAGATAAATCATTTACTCACGAGATGGAGCCGTGCCAGAGATTCGACGATATGTTTTTATTGTTCGAAGTTGGGGCATATAAGCCCCAACTGTCCGGAGAAGGCTAACGGTAAAGACTGTACTTGTACCAGGTGCGCAGGTTCACATGAGCGACAACAGTGCAACGCTGGCGGCGAGAGATGCCGCAACTGCTTGGATTTCAACCAGCAGCAAGCTCGTCTCGGCAAGCCCGGTCGTCGCCAAGCCAACCACCAGGCCACCTCCGCCGCTTGTCCCAGCGCCCAGGCCTTTTGCCGTCGTCTGGCCGAAAGGACAGACTTTGGCGCGGTGGCAGCACCTAGCTCTAACTAATGTTAGAGCTAGGTGCTAAATAATCGTTAAATAATGGTACTACCATTTCTACAAGTACTTACGTCTTGCCAGGTCCCTTGCTTTGCTCCCGATGCCGAGACTTTCGGCGATCTCCTAGATGGTCTGGCGGCCAGACTCTGGCCCATTTGAGATAACTTAGGATGCGAGAGAGTTCATCAGCAGGATTCTATTTACTTTGGATACATTGATATATAACATCAATCTTATACAAGGCTAATAAATCATCGATCATTTGTAGTCTTACTTCGACGGCTCCGGATGCCAAGCCTTTTGAAGCCACCCAGTGCTTCGCCTGATTCCTGGATAGTTGAACTAGTACTGGTTCGTTATCAACATACATGGTTATTGTCTTTCCATGTGTAATACCTAATCCTCGGAGCCAAGGGACTACAACATTATTCAAGCCTCTGAGTGCGGCTTCCAGCTCTACTGTATCATTTGGTCGGATATCTCGTACGTTTCTGAGCCATGACTTGTCTTCTACTAGGTCATTCCCAAAATGGAGGCGAGCTCCAATGGCATCAGCTGATGCATCCGTGTACAGTTTCCAAGGGGCGTGAGGATCAACGGTGAAAACTCCTGTAGCCGTATCGCCTGTAGCTTGAATATCGTTGTAAAGCTTTCGAGCTTTGGTGATCAACGCCTGGTCGAGTAGATCGGTTGACTTTGCGGTAAGATTGCTCAGAACACCGAGCCTTTCTAATGCCCTGGCTGCTGATGATAACCAACCTAGAATAGGAAGATGCGATGATGCGATTGTAGCAACCCATAATCTCAAATTCTTATAGGTTGTTCCTTCCATTGGTTTAATCACCTCACGTCGTTCCCACATGTTGGTTTCATCCCCCTGTGAGCCTAAAATTCGGGCAGGCTCACTGTCCTATGGATCCTTTGTAGGGAACCATTTCGATTCAACACGGCCACAATTTTTCCAACGTAGTCAACTGGAACTCGAATATCATCAACAAATATCTCTGTTCAACAGAGATCTTTGTTGATTCTAAATTCAACTTGAATTTTCGAGTTCAGCTTCCCGCAAGATATACATAATAATCCGTCTTAGGACCTTGGGGGTTATGTTTACGCCGAATCCTAATCTATTGAGGCACATATTTAACCCGGTATATGCGAAACTTTCGCCATTTGCACCTTCAATAATAAGGCCTTGGTAATTGGCACAATCACGCTGCATTTTCATACATAAGTATACCTTTCGAATATCAATCAATACCTATTTTCCGACACTATGCCCATCTTTGGCTTTACCAGCTCTCCAACGCCTTATTGTATCTTGACAAGTGACGTGATCATCAGAATTTGGCAATGAAATTATCTGGCTATTCAAGGGCTTATAATCTAGTACTGGTCTACATGGCGGAGACACCTTATGTTCTTGAACTGCTGCCATAAGTGTCAACGTTCCATTCAGTTCACATTGTGGAACTTCTTCAATAAAGCCTCGTTTTTCCCAATCCTCTAGCTCTTTCCGCCAGAGGTCAAGCTGTGAATCAGTCAGAGTTTGCATCTGTTTGTGGTACGTCGCAGGCCGGAAAACTCGTGGTGGAGGTGTTTTAGTTGTCCATTTCCATTGTACTTTCCACCTTGAGTTTCCATCGGACCCTGTTAGGCGTACTGCCCTGAAATCAGTGTCCTCTATGACGGCTGTTAGTGTGGAGCAAGCAACAGCGATCCGAATAAATATGGTGTTTTGATTGCTGGTTCATTCGCAGACAAAGAGGATGTGAGTGTTTACAACGGCAAAGAATTCATCAGCTCGGGGATTTTACCACCCGTGGAATCCACGGCGTGGAGGGAGCGGTCCTTGGTTTGAGACCAGGGCAAGAAACTCTCAACCTGCGAGTTGAGGTAACCGAATATCGTGCTTCTATCATCGATTCCTCATAGACGGGAGTGATTCCGGGCTCCGGTGGAGTCGTTTGCTCACCAGATTAATGGTGTCCAACCTTCGAATGTCAGGTACGGACCGCGCATCATGGAGTGATCGGGTCGGCCGCCAAACGTCTGCGGAGCGGGAGATAGTCGGAAATGCAGTCACAGCTGCTGTAATACGGCAGTGAAGAACCAGCGAAGCATACTACTCAGACGACTCCGTTTTCGTTGGTGAGCTTGTATATGTCGGTCGGACCGACTCGGTCCACGTTACTTTTTTGTTTCGAAAACGATGTTTCACTGAGCTCTTATTTGTGTTGCGTTTTGTAGACGGCGTCTACACTGTTAATGGTAGTGTATTTCTGAAATTGCGGAGCGAGCGAAGCGAGCGGAGCGTATTCTCTCACTTTACTAACACTTTGTGCGTGCGTGCGTGCGTGCGTGCGTGCGTGCGAACAAATTATCCAGCTCGATCTAGAGAGGTTATGATCACATGCTATACACCATTCGATAGCTCTCGCTCTGGGGATACTAGGAAAAATACGAAATTAGGGTTCCGCCCGGACCATGTAGATTTCCGTGCAAAAAACGTATTTTTGCAGAAAAACGCCAGGCATGGGAATCGAACCCGGATGCCGAGCTCCGCCCCTTCGTCACGAAGGCCTAGTACACTACCATTAACAGTGTAGACGAATACGTGTAATACGAATTACTTAATTGTACGAATTAATAGTGTAGACGTCTGAAATACTATTTCATCGAATAGCTCAATCCCGCATCTGAAAATTTAGATCACAATATCTTCTCAGCACGGGAATTACCGTGACTCCCGCGTTAATTGATGGGGTTAAGTGACTTTATTGGGTTAGACTGTCTGACCTGTCTGGCTCACTCCTGTAGCGCGATATAAGTCTCTAGTTTGAAGCCCAAGCCCGGTATTTCTGATACAAAAATGCTTTACGTCCATATATGGACCGCATAATATTGTCAGGGAGTCCCTGACAATATCGCAAGGTTGATCATGCAAAGAACGCATGGCAATGCTCAACTTCCTCTAGGCATACTCATGCGTGTAGCTTGTCGTGAAGAAGTAGGTGGGCCGCAGTCTGCGGCTATAGCATAGCCTGAATAACGCCAGTCGGGTAGTAGATGTTACTGGATACAGTCGTTCCGGTTTCTCAAATCAGTCCCCTGTGATGCCAGCACCTTTTTCTTGGACGCTTCTCAGCACCCTCGAAGATGCCTACCTACTGGCATAATTGCCCCGCAAACACGAAATTGAAGTTCCGAACGACGAAGTCGATTTTCCTAAAGGGACGAAATTGAAGTTCCAAAGGTGTACTCGACGAAGTTGAAAGCTCTATGACGAACTCGAAGGTTCGAAAGTCGAAATTGAAAGTTCTACTATTAGAACGAATTTGAACTTCCTATCGACTTCGGACGAACTTGAATGTTCTATGACGAAGTTGAAAGTTCTAATTGCGAATATGATCTTCCCGTTTCGGATTCGTACCTCCAACTTCGCGCGTCCCGACGAAATTGATGGTTCCAAAGACGAACTAGATGTTTAAAAGGTGTAGTCTACTTAATAGTAATGGTTGCGTGTGACTAGGAATTCTTAGGTGAGCATAGCACTGTGCCCATTGACTTGGATAGACTGCAGCACCCGAGGCAGATAGCTCGTTTCATATTCGATCAAGCGTCCTTGGGAGTGCTGTAGACCTGTGTGAGCGAGCCTCTCCTATGGGATTTAAGGCGAGCGAGATTCACAGCGGTCGCGTGAGCCTAACCTTTGTGCGTACAAGCTAGATTACGATTGGTATAAGCACTTGTAGAGTGCTTCAATTACTGCTTAAGTGTATTTGTATTACTTCGAGGCTATATCCTTGAGGTAATTAGTACACTGTATTGGTAAACCTAACCTATTATCTGTAGTGAGACCGGTATTAAGTTAGTATAGTACTTGGTTCGGCACAGGGAGCTCGCGCAGTAAATAAACCTAAAAGTCAAGCAACATGTGTAGTTACTGCGCGCAGCACCTCGAAACCAGGCAGTGAAATCGTGTAACCAGAAGAAGTATTTAAATTGATCAGATCATAAACTGGAACAACTGAACCTGATAGCAACACGCATGTGCACCTGTGAGCAACGCACGTAGGGGCGTCACGGAAAGCGTTACGGAAAGAGAACTCGTAAGCGAGATACATTCCCCCGTACTTCGGAAAGAATTCTCTTGCCTCCAATCGATCAGCAAATCCCTATCATGTGGTTCACCGCCGCGACTTTGCACTTCATTCTTATGGCTCAAGCTATCGCTGGAGGATCGGATCGTAATGGCCAACTCAAGAATATCGACCAGGCATTCCACGACTTCATGACACGGTGATCCGTTCCCTTCCGCATCTACCATATGGCATCTGTCTCTCCCATCGGCTATCACAATTCTTGAAGATACAATAAGAAGTATAAGACGGATGAGCAGTACCAGGTTGCAAAGGCTGCTTTTGCAGGAAACATGAGGGAGATAGAGGAATTGAGAGCGAACGGTGAGCGATGGAAGCTTCTATTCCTCTTATGTTCATTATATAGACGATATAACCCATGAAGTCGGTCTGAACGAGTATGCAGATCTGCCACCTGAAGTATTCGATACAGAGTTCCAGTGTGCAGGAGATCCACAATCCAAAAGAAACTTGCGATCAGTCAATGCGACTTGTAAGGTCACTTTCATCTCGTTACACTGAAGCGGTTCCAGTGAAGTCGAAAATGTCCCTCAGACTTACAAGATCTCATCATGGATCCTCCTCCGTCGATTGATTGGGAAGCCGCTGGCGCTTTAGCTCCAGTCCGGGATTCAAAGAATTGCGGTGCCTGCTACGCCATAGTGGCTTCCAGTAAGTTTCTGGTGGCTTTGGGTACTTCGTGAATTTCGGTGCTTCTCATTATCACAACCGTCGGTGTTCCCTTCAGTCGTCATGGAGAGTCGTTTCAAGATACACACCGGAATTACTGAAGTGGTCCCATTCTCAGTTCAACAGATAGTTGACTGTAGTAGATCCTTCGGAAATAAGTGAGATAGCACTTAGTTATTCGAACGGATCGGATTAGCATTCTATGATCTGAGCTCTCCCTCAGGGGATGCGATGGAGGCTCAGCCGGGAGGTCATATCTGTATGCGGAGAAATATGGCATTGTGCGAGACAGAAGCTATCCCTATATGGGTAAGGCCGGCAAGTGTAAGAAGATCACTAAGGATACCAAGGAGCAGTGTCTCAAGGTGAGTATGTCTCAACAACTCAGCTCAGAACTGATTATGATCAGCCTGCTGATATTATTTCCACCCCGACCATACCGGCAGCCAACGAGGCTCTAGTGATGCAAGCTTTGACTACCGGGCCCGTGCCGGCTAAAGTGTATGCTCAGGCCCCGTCGTTCAAACATTACGCGGGAGGGATTATCACAGGTGAGAGTACACGCGCCTAGAAGCGTAACATGTCTTCGTTCAACTTCATAGTCAAGAGCTGCGGAGTCGCTCCCGCAAGTCATACCGTAACTATCGTGGGTTACAACACTTCCTCGAATGGAGTTCGGTGAGTTTAAATTATCGAAGTAGCACTCGGTGTTCATTCATCTATATGCTAGGTATTGGAAGATTCTCAACGGCTGGGGAAAAAATTGGGGACTGAAAGGTTTTGCTTACATCGAACGAACCGGCAACGAACCAGGTAACGTATAGTCATCATTGGCCGTGAGTGTTCTTGTCACTATCATAGCGGCTATGTACGGCTCACGGTTCACAGTTACTATATATTTTATACTATAGAATGATCCTATTTGATTCTAGATCCTATTAGAGTCTATAGGTCCATGTAATTTCCTCTCCGAAGACGAGTTCTTCCCAACGTTCGGCCCCACCATTAATAGCTCTTCTTGTGCTGCAAGTCGTTGAAGCGGAGCGTCGAACCAAGTGCTCGCGTATGATGCGACTCATCATCGTGCCACCTCTATGCTACTCTATCCAACCCTTGTTTCGTTGTAGCACTATGGAATCCATATTATGGATTTCACTATTTTTTCCATACCGTATTCTTCATCGTATGAGTCCCATATCATCCAATAGTATAGTGCTGTGTCCTTTCCGATCTTTTTCCGAAGACATTCTGAGGAGAGGTTCAATCTGGTATTCGTCTCGAGGTGAGGTTCAACCTGATTGAGGTGTAACTGTGCGCCTCAAATCGATTGTTGTGGCGTGCAACCCATAGATGTTTGAGTGCTCTATGATTTCCAGTGCTTTGGGTCGCAGCCAAGATTCATGTTATGTTGTTAAAACCTTTGCGCCAACTAGCATTTTGTTGAGACTCACCAATCAATCTTCTATTTGCGTCTTTCCTGACGAGTCGGATATCCAGGATATCATATCCTGTCGCATTATATGCGTTCAATATCGATACTACTTAATTGATATGAGTTGAGTTGAAACTTCAATAATCACCGAGATCATGGACAGCTTCGGTGGCCATCAGTCAGCTTTGCTCAGAGAACGGGGAATGTGACAGCGACGACAGCTTGAAGAGGACTCGTCTGGGTATCAGGGACTGTGATATCCTTGCTGCTCGCGTCATCTTATTCATGAATCGAGTCATTAATAGTGACTCACTATCGGGAATACTCAGCATCGGGAGTATTCCAATATGAAATCGGCGAGTATTGGAGGGTAGTTCTTAAGCTCTAGCAGTCTGTGTTTGGTGATAGTATCACCAAACACGACTCAGAGCTTGGACGGACCCATTCAAGCTAAGAGGGCTGCCCCCTGAGGGGCCCCCCCTCCGAACTTCGGGGCCCGAAGAAATCTGAGATACGTACGATGAACCCGGTGACCGTCGGGACATTGGTAATTGAAATGCACTATACTTGGGCGTATTTTGGACAGACCAAAATGCAGTCTGTGCGCGCCTGTTGGAAGGCTTCCAACAGGCGCACACAGACTGCAAGTTGCAGTCCAAATTGGACTGCCATAGTTGCCCCGGTAAAGATATCGATTATACTAGGGTGTATCTCGGGATGACTTAGCTGCCCCGGGCAGAGAAATTGATTGAACTATGTGGGATGGCTTAGCTGCCGGGCAGCTGCTGCGCCGGGTGGAGAAACTGATTGTACCTGGATGTATCGTGGGGTGGCATGGTTGCCTTGTCTGTTATCATTCCTCTATTGCACGCTTGAGAGCTGTGCTGCTGCTGTTGCCGCTGCCCACCTCCTGATCAGATATATGAGGCTTTGACTATTATACACTGGCAGGTTTACTTGCCTGATGCCTCCTTCTTGCCGCAACCACAAAGAAGGTCTACGTTGTCCTCGAGGTTCACCGTGAATATTCCTTCACAATCCACGCCGCGGAGCAGCTCTGATTTTGACACTATTCTGATTCAGAATTTCTGAATCGGAATTTTGGATGACAGTCTTATCGTCTTTCCCCAGACAGGATACCCGAGTATTACGCAATTGTTTCCATAGCCATGAAAGGCTTGACTGTCAATCATTGACAGCCTGCATCCGATCAATAGGAACTCTAGTGATTGTAGCATATCTCTAATGGCTCCGAGTAAGCACTCCTTGCTGAGAAGGCCCTCGAACGGCCTGACCAACTAACGGTTTCCCAGAGACTCACAAGCAGGAGAGACTTAAGCTTGTCTTGTGTGGAAAACACTCTGATAATCCACCGCCAGCTACGCAAGACCGACGACACCATTTTCAGGCTGGAGCTCCAGCGAGTCTGGTTGCGAATGCTGAGTCTGCAGTATCATGTCTTTCTGAAGTTCTCATCTGAGGTTAAGACGTGTATACTACCTAATGCAGCCGAGCAGCCCAGCGATTTCTCCATTCATCTTAGTTCTGCGTGCAACAGCGACTAATCTGCTCAATGTCAATCTCAACAAACCCATCACTGATGTGTCTTCCTCAGGAAGAAGTGTCGCCAAACGGCGAGCGCAGAAGTGATGAGCACGTTTGCTAAGTGCATAGCGAAGTTTGTTAAGCGAACCAGTAGTCGTTCTGTTCTTTCATTTGAGTCTTTGAGTAAAGTGTTATGGTAGTATCATTATCATTTTGGTGCTTTTACGTCCATGCCTGGTGTTGCGCCGTGTGAGCCAGGAACACAACAGTATCAACAACAAGGGACATCAGATGGACTGTTACATTCTACCGGGATGACCATTGCCAATGTGCTCAAGTCACCGGTATGTGTGGAGCCTGTGTGGTCTGGTCCCAAATATGCCGTATCCAATGTTCAAGAAGATGATACAGCAAAACAAGCAGTCTATGAGCTGAAGGGTGGTGCGGGTTATCAGTACCTAATGCGATGTCTCGGCCAACCTCTGAAAGGAGAGGTTCAGCAGATTTGTCTCCGAGGAGTTCCCCAAGAAAAGGTTTGGGAAGGCCTGGATACACGTTATGATGCACCGTGGCCTTACGTATGGTATGCATCGAAGGTGGAAGCAGCTCGCTCAAGAACAAGGTGAACCAGTAGTACTGGTCCAGTACATGAGTTCGCCAACCGGGTGATGTCGATGGCGTCTGTGATTCATACATCAACTGGTGCAAAGCCAAGCGCGACTGAGCAAGCAGGGACCTTTCGCTATGGTCTTCTGCCTGATATAGCTGGCAAATTGGATGCTTATTTGGGTCCAAGATTTGCATGTCTGGAAGAAGCTAAGGACGTGGTTGAGTACTACGAGTCGAAAGTTCACAAGGGCAAAGCCCTAAAGAAAGGTATCGGGAAGGTCGACAACAATGAACCTCATAGATCATTCGCGGTGTGTCGCCACTTTCTGAAAGGAACCTGTAAATATGGAGACCGCTGTCAGTTTGCTCATACTATGAACAGATCTCCTCAAGTAAAATCACCCAGTAGTACTGGTGTGTCGACTCAGAATAGCCGTCCTTCTGGTATTTGCCATCAGTTCTTACGATCTGGTACCTGCAATCGTGACCGTTGTCTATTTCGTTACGAGCGTGTCAATGTTCCCATGACATCAAAACCTACTGCTACAACAACCACAAAGAGCTCTACGGAGCCGGCGATGGTGGTGATCGATGACATTGACCAGTACTTCGCGAACGAAGAGTCTTGGGCGTCGGTCATGGCAGTTCAGTCAAAGGAGTTAGCTACACCATCGTTGTCACAGACTGTGACAACGATACTCTGACTCACAGTCCTCAAAGAGTCTGACTGCATCGCTCAAGTATAAGAAGGCCGACACTGGCGAGAGTCTCGCCAGACCATGCCCCGGCAATCGAAAACTCCGAAACCGAATATTTCGGTTTCGATTCGGTTTCGGTCGATGGACCGACCGAAACCGAAACGGCGTGGGCCATCTTGAAACCGAAACCGAAAAAAAACCGAAATATCCGGTTCTTCGGTCTTCTTTCGGATTTATAATGTACTACGGCATTTTTCCAAAAAAACACAAATTAAAGGCCTCATTGTCCACAGACAAGCTGTAATCATCGCATTCTTTGCAAGTTCCTGAGTCCGATAAGTGTTCTCGGTTAATACAATGATAGTTACCTCACGAGGGTTGAAACATTATCATTGTAAGAGCTACACAAGGTGGCCACTGAGTGGCCACCGGCTATACCAATATGGCATAGACTCCAGAATTGTCCGTGCGTATGACGCAATACGTGATAGTGTTTGGAACGGTAAATTTCCAACCGTTATTTCTGTACAACGCCAGTGCAGGTTCAGAAACTTAATTAGTTAGGCATGCCAGCTAAAACAGCTACGTGAATATTATCCACTGATTGAGCAAGTAACTGGCGGCTCCAAGGAGCAAAAATCCATGGCTTGGATTCCATGGCTAGATTGAGCGGCCCAATAGATGCGTGCATAATAGGTCACCTAACAACAAGAGTAGTAACTCATGATCTCTGATGAGTAGTACATTTTTGCTCCATCCTTAAAGTACTGCCCGGACAACCGATTGCTACTTCGCACCACCATAGCTGCCTTGATAAGGTCACATTCCATTGAAGTACGGCGAACGGAGATCTGTTCACGAATCTGCGAGAACAGGCTCTCAACGTTTGCAGTAGATATGAACGTGTGCTGCACACCAACTGCAGCGTGGGCTATCAGTGGAAACTCCTCGCGAGCGAGGACGGTCCAGAATTGCTGATAATCGGTCCCGTGAGCTTCAAGACTTTAATATTTATCAACCTCCTTTGTCACCCTGCAAACGAGATCATTCCCCATATCGGGAGGAAGATATTGTGGGATAACCGAACGATCCAGAATCATCGGTTAGGCTGCGGCGCCTAATAGGGGCGCCGTCAAGTTTATCTTGAGACTTCGACGATACTGATGGACCACAGGTGACAGCACTAGCCTCTGCGCCGACTCTAGTGGCAGTACGCCTCGTAGATTCGAGTACCGGGCCGGAGTTGGCGTTCACCACCCACGTTGTGAATGCAGAGATTAACGCATCACGCTTGAGAAGGTCACCATGAGGTAGATGCCTATACAGTTGATGATAATGTTGGATGACCGCGAGCCGCCCCAGGTTCTGCAGCTTAACAGCTGGGTCAAACATGCACGGCACCAACGCGTCAGCCGTCAGACGGCTGAGCACCTAAGAACTTGAGTAGAGGCGTGAAAACCAAGGCCATATCTTGAGCGGCAGACTTTCCCCACCTTCAGTTCAAAGCTCTCCCTCATACCCTCTCGCGCTTGCCGGATGATATCCAGCTCAGACTGCTGAGGCTCGTTGAGGTGACCCCACAGTTCATCGAGGTATCTAACGGAGAAAAACGGCAAACTCGAAAAATTAGAGAAACGTGCCCGCTAAATTAGCTCGTGTATGCCAAATATCTACCCGATCGTTACAGTATAGTGGCGCATCCCACATCGGCCGCCTGGGTCTGCATCACATCACACGCCCGCTTGAACGGTAACAAAAGATTCTCTAATTGGATCAGCGTATTCTTTTGTGAGAGCAATCGCTGGAAGCTTCTAAAATGAAAACAGAGTCCAGAGAAAGCCCGCGTTTGACGTGGTTTAGCGCGAACTGTCGACACCTACTGAAGTTTATCCGCTTCTGCGAGGATAGTGATTATTCCACTCCATGAGCGCAATATGCGCTGCAGCATTGCCAAAGTGCCATTCCATCTAACGGCAATACGTGGTTTTAGTCTGAGTGTGGAATGACAGCTTGACAAAAGAGAAGCAATATTGGCTTAGCAGTTTTAATTCTTACTTAATACAGCCGTGGGTCGCGGCTAACTTGGCATTGGCACTGCTTCTTTTCATAAAAGCCTCCAACCGAGAGCACGACAGTAATAATCCCCTCAACCCTATATTTTCGCTTTCCATGTCACTTGGGATGGTT